TAACCTGCTGTATGACTATGAACACCTGTAATAGTCATCTTGACATAAATCTCTCCCTGACCTTTCTGTGACAAGAAAAACTGTTTGCCAACTCCTGAATCCTACCTGTATAGTAAGAAATGATTTCAGTGTTTATTGTAGAAATTCTCAATTTGGGCAATTTAAATCAAATTCAGAGGCAAATTCATATCTTACTTTAAAAGTAAAGCAAATCATTGGGAAAAGCATTGGGGAGAGAGATTGTAATAGAGAGAGAGAGATTCTCTTTCAATCAGTAATTCATGTCTATTAGTTTTTCTTGAAGAAGTAAGCAAGTCCTCAAAGATGTATGTTCTAGGGTGTTTATTGTAGAAGATTGAGTATTAGAAAAATATTGAAAGCAATTATTCAAAAATTTAAGACTGTGAAACTAAATCGTGGAATATTCATACAATGAAATATGAAGTCTTAAAGAATAATGGGAAAATGTGATATATTGTTTTAAAAGCTTTATCTTCAATAAATAATGAAAAGAAAGAGATATCAGAAAAACCTATAGATTAAAAGAGACTTATGAAACATTTTTTTGAGGGAGGTTGCCCAGGCTGGAGTGCATAGTGTGATCATGGCTCACTACGGCCTCAAACCTCCTGATCTCAAGTGATCCTCCTGCCTCAGCCTCCCAAGCAGCTGGGACTATAGGTGCACACCACCATGTCCAATCAGAAAACATATTAACCAGTTGCAATGTATTGCATTTCCCTTACAAGTCTAAGCATGCACACATATATAATATTGAGGAAACGTAAACACTGACCAGTTATAGAATTATACTATGGAATTTTTATAAATATTTTTAAATGTGGTAATAGTATGCTATTTTTTAGTTCTATATTTAGAGAAAAAAATGCTATGCTGATTGGGGAATGTGAGGATATAGATGAAACAAGGTTGATGAAGTTAGAAGGTTTATTATACACTTCTCTCTACTTATGTACATGTTGAAAATGATCCACTTCTTAAAAGGTTTTTCTTTTCTTTTCTTTTCTTTTTTTTTTTTTTTGAGATGGAGTTTCGCTCGTTACCCAGGCTGGAGTGCAATGGCGTGATCTCGGCTCACTGCAACCTCCGCCTCCTGGGTTCAGGCAATTCTCCTGCCTCAGCCTCCTGAGTAGCTGGGATTACAGGCATGCGCCACCATGCCCAGCTAATTTTTTGTATTTTTAGTAAAGACGGGGTTTCACCATGTTGACCAGGGTGGTCTCGATCTCTAGACCTCATGATCCACCCGCCTCGGCCTCCCAAAGTGCTGGGATTACAGGCGTGAGCCACTGTAGGTACTGGCTTTTCTTAAGTTATAAAAGAGTATGTATATTGTGACCCTATGTGTTAATATATTTTAATATATGTTTTCTTATTCTTCTATATAAAACATGATAATATTTTGATGTAAACATACTTTTTACATTTTTTTTTTTTTTTTTTTTGAGATAGGGTCTCACTCTGTCACCCAGGCCTGAGTGCAGTGGCATGATCTTGGTTCACTGCAGCCTCTGCCTTCCAGGATCAAGCGATTCTGCCTCCGCCTCCCTAGTAGCTGGGATTACAAGCGTGAGCCACTACACCTGGCTAATTTTTGTATTTTTAGTAGAGATGGGGTTTCACCATGTTGCCCAGGCTGGTCTTGAACCTCTGATCTCAAGTGATCTGCCCGCCTTGGCCTCCCAAAGTACTGGGATTACAGACATGTGCCACCGCACCTGGCCCAACCATACTTTTTATAATAAATAAGTAACTTGACAGCTGGAATTGATTTACGCTAGACATTAATGTCTCAAAATTTGCTGTTTTCTCCTTGTATCTAATATACTGAGTTTACAGTTCATAAACTATCAAAAATGACAGTGTGAGATGGACTCACATGTTGTCTCAGATTAAGATCTTCTATTATCATAAGGCCCATCCATCAGTTATGAGGTGACTTTTATCCTGTGGCCAGGGAGCCTGATAATTCATGCCTGGGGCAAGCAAAGAAATCACGTAAAACCCCAGACTTTCCAGTTTTCATACAAAGCTGGACTTTCATAAACAAAACAAGGAAAGAAACTGAGCATCTTAACAGGTGAATCTAGAAAAAAAAATAAACATCTTTTTTATATCAATGATTTGGCTAATTTAGAAAAATTTTAAGGGCTATTTTGCCTAAATTAATAAGAAAATGTGATTGCCCCAGGTGCCAATTTTGCTCTTTTCCGATGGCTGGATTTACCTCAGCTCTCAGAAAAAAAGCAAATTGCCACAACATAACATTTTCACACTCCTAAAAGAAGCTTTACATTTTATTTATTAATTTATATATGTATTATTTGTTTTTGAGACAGGGTCTCTCTCTGTCACCCAAACTGAGTGTAGGATCACCTGGGCACAAGTGATCCTCCCACCTCAGCGTCCCAACTAGCTAGGACTACAGGCACACAACACCACACTTAGCTATTTTTTTTTTTTTATTTTTTGTAGAGATGGGGTCCTGCTGTGTTGCCCATGTTGGTCTCAAACTCCTAGATGCAAGTGATCCTCCTGCCTCAGCCTCCTAAACTGCTGGATTACAAGCATGAACCACCACACCCAGCCAAGTTTTAAGTGGGCCTTCCTGAAAGTGACTGTGCACATATGCAATAGAATTGGAATAAATTAAATGTAACAAACGATCTTCTCACATCAACCTCTGTTGATGGGTGGGCTGTGCTATGTACTTGCTCCTGCTTCAAGACTCAACCACAAGTCCCGTGTGCAGGAAAGACAGCAGTTTGGAAATTGGAGGACTGTGATTCTGCTTGTGCTTTCCAAGGCTCCAAATTGTTTGACTAGAAAATTCTGCCTGTACCTCTGGCATTGGTCTCCCCTTGCCAGGCCTCTCTACTGCAGGCCCTGAGCCCTATCTCAGGTAACTAAGTTCTGCCCCATTCAACTTCTGAGTCCAAGTTTACCAACTGTCTGGAATGAGTCTTTGCCACACCAGAGTGTGGTGGAGTGAGCCTTGCTACCCTGTCCTATAGCCAGATGGGTGCTAGGTCTGGAGGCTTCTCCCCTGGCCCCTCGTCATTCAATAGCACCTCGGGACTTCTGTTTTGGTTTTCTGACTGTTCTCTTGGCCCACTCCCAGGGAGAAAACTGTAATCTCAGCACCCCCAGAAGTGGCCCCTTTCCTTTCTGTAGTAACCACAGGCTGAGGGCTGACTCCCTTATACGGGACCACCTGGAACCATACTGCCCCCTCCTGGATGCCATTCCTCTTGCTGTGACATCCATGCAAGCAACTGGCCCTCCCCACTCCAGACACCCCAAAATTTTCTTGGGATGGGATTGAATTCAAATTTGCTATGCCTGTAAAGCATAATTAGAACCATAGGATATGCCTCAGTGGTAATATAGAAGCAGGAGCTGAATGATACATTTTCAGCTTTTTTGCAAGTTAGATTGTTAAACACCCCAGTATTAAAATTTGAGTCATATAAACTTAAAATTAATTGACACTAAAAAAAGGTGATACTCAAAACTCATCATTTCTTATCTTACTACATTTTACTACTGTCTATGCTCTGGGTTAATTTACATTGACTGTAGTGTTATTTGTATGGTGGAAATTACTCCACTTATCAAATCATGGTTGAATTGTAATCAACAGTTGACTATGGAGACAAGAGTTCAGTAAAAATCAGTGAAAGCATTCTGTGAGAGTCGACTGGACATATGGGACTTAAAATAAAGGGTATTGCATATTTTATTATTATTTATAAATTGCATGCTACTTATCCTTTGTATCAATAAAATTTCTAAGTTGATGTATTTTTTTTCCACAGAGCCCATTGTTAAACATTTCCCAGCATACTACTGTATCCCATCTGCAGGACCATGAGCCCAGTTCCATAGTCTCATCCACTCTCTCGGTTCTGCTCACCTTCCACATTGATTCTGAGCCTGTTGCAGGAGGCTCATACCCAAAGCACTCTTGATTTATCTCATCCATGTGGCAGGACATCCATTAGCATAACACACCTGGCTTCGGCTCCTTGCCACATGCCTCTAGGCAAACTGACTTGCCCAGTTGGTGAATTTGGAAGAATAAATGTGTCATATATAGCTTAGCTCTTTTCCTTTCCTTAGGAGCTACCTGCAGGAGGGGCATCTTTCTCCAGAGGCAAAGCCTGCCCTGTTCTGATGTTGCCTAAGGCTGATGGACAAGTTGATCAAATCCCAAAGTTTAGTTGATGAGAACTGCACTTGCTTGAAGACAGAAGCTATGCTTTCCCAAATAGCATTGAATCAATAAGGAGCTCCCCACAGGTAGCAGGTATGTTGGCCTCCATCTGTTGACTACTTGGCTTTATTTCTCAATTGGCTCAAAACTTGAGTGGGAAAAAAGGAGTGTTCTTTATTGGGCCCCTTAGAAACTCTACAGTGATCCTCTCCCATCAGCCTTTGCTCCTGAGGTCCCAGAGTACCTTGTGACCATGCCCATATTTCTTGACACACATAAACCCTTTCTAAAAGTAGAAAAATGGACTGGCAAATTTGCTTTATTCTAATCCCTTTATTCTCAATATGTATATATAATCATCATGTTTACACAGTTGAGCACCTTTTATATGTTAGGTATTATACATACAAATAGCAAATTGACCTTGGAAAACAAGTGTTATTATCACTTTACAGATGAGGAAATTATGTCCTAATGTGCTTAAGTAACTTGCTAGGGGTCACAAAGTGACTGAGCCAGTTGTCAGATGCCAAGGCCCTTGCTCTTTCCATTCCAATTTCTCTCCCTTCCCTTTCTCTTTTCTCCACACCAAATCTGCTCGTCTTCCTTCCTCTTCTTTCTCTCGCCCTCTCTTCCATCGAGCTCTCTCTGACTACCTTTCCTCATTGTCACATTTTCTAGCCCTTTAACATGTTAGAAAATTGAAGAAGCATTTGAAACCTCAGATATTTCAGTATATTTTAAAATATCTGCAAAATCTTACCACAGCAGCTGGGCCCCCAAGAAATCTGGCAGCAAGCAGTAGGAAAACTGTGGCTGTCTTTTTAATATCCTCCTTGGGTTTCTCAGGAGGAATGTCCAGCATCCCATTCGAGGTCCTGGGGCAGGAGGTCACAAAGAAACTAGTACATACAGAGAGGGAGGCCACAGGACTTCATCAAGCTGGGGTCTGCCCAGGCATGACCTAGGAGCTGGGCCCTGTGTGAAAAATGCAGCCTTTCTTCAGAAGGAGTATGTGCCCGTTACCTCTGAATCAAGGTTTTTTTCCCAGGGGTCAATAGTTGTGCAATAAGCTCAGGGACTGAGCAAACAGTTTAGCAATTGCTTGGGGAATGACTGAGAGAAGAAAATATGTCATGCATTCTCAACCAGGTAGTATTTCCCCATACAGCATAAAAGTTGGTTCTTGGGAACTCAGAAAAATACACAGTATATATATATATGATATTAAAATTTCATAGAGGGATTAAGAAAAATATGTCTTAAAAGGCTCCTCAGGAGAGCAATGATTTTGTTAATGGTTGAAAAACATAGATGAATATAAAGAACTTAGCACAGCATGTGACACATAGTAGGTTTTCAATTTATGAGAACTGTAGTTGCTATTATAGTCATTAGTTGTTATTATGATTATCCTACAACCAAATTAGAGAAATCATGCAGACCCATCATAGTTAGGGCAAAGAAGGTTGTACTGTGCCAAGTTCACAGATGAAGCTAGCCTTTGGTGGATTTTGCCTGAGCTAGAGGTCAGAACTGCCCAGGATTCTAGAAAATAGAAATATTCTCGCACACTGCTGAGATGAGCAGAAACATTTGTGTATGCAGTGTTAAAATTTAAAAAAAAGTAGGGGGGCATGGTATGAATGTTTGGGCTGTGTTCAGACTTTCGCAATGCCTGCTATCATGCTCTGGGGAAAGGACATGATTAAGAAATGAATGAACGTAGGGTTGCAGAAAATGCAGTGCTCTGTAGGCTTGTAAAAAACGAAATATCCGGGGCTGGGCGCAGTGGCTCACGCCTGTAATCCCAGCACTTTGGGAGGCCGAGGCGGGTGGATCATGAGGTCAAGAGATCGAGACCATCCTGGTCAACATGGTGAAACCCCATCTCTACTAAAGATACAAAAACTCAGCTGGGCATGGTGGCATGTGCCTGTAATCCCAGCTACTCAGGAGGCTGAGGCAGGAGAATTGCCTGAACCCAGGAGGTGGAGGTTGTGGTGAGCCGAGATTGCGCCATTGCACTCCAGCCTGGGTAACAAGAGTGAAACTCCATCTCAAAAAAAAAAAAAAAAAACTAAATATCCAATGATTAGTCTTAAAACCTATGTTTGTATGACTCTTAGTGTACAAAGTGGTTTCATGTAAATTAGTCCAACAATTGTGGAAAGCAGTGTGATGATTCCTCAAAAAACTAAAAACAGAACTACCATTCAACCCAGCAATACCACTACTGGGTATATACCCAAAGAACTATAAATAATTCTACCATAAAGACACATGCAACTGTATGTTCACTGCAGCACCTTTTGCAATAGCAAAGACATGCAATCAACCTAAATGCCCATCAACAGTACTATGGGTAAAGAAAAGGTGGTACGTATATACCATGTGAAGCTACGCAGCCATAAAAAAGAATGAGATCGTGTCCTTTACAGGAACATAGATGAAACTGGAGGCCACTAGCCTTAGCAAACTAATGAATGAATAGAAAATCAAATACCACATGTTCTCACTTGTAAGTGGGAGCTAAGTAATAAGAACACATGGACATATAGAGGGGACCAACAGACACTGGGGTTTACTTGAGAGTAGAAGAGGGGAGAAGGAAGACGTTCAGGAAAAAAAAATGTTGGTTACTAGGCTTAGTACCTAAGTGACAAAGTAATCTGTATACACCAAACCCCCGACTCACAAGTTTACCTTTGTAACAAATCTGCACAGGTATCCCTGAACCTAAAATAAAAGTTAAAATATTTTTTAAAAAGTGATTTTGAATACATGGACACAGGGAGGGGAGCATCACACACTGGGGCCTGTCAGAGGGTGGGGAGGATTAGGGGAGGGATATCATTAAGAGAAATACCTAATGCAGATGACAGGGTGATGGATGCAGCAAACCACCATAGCATGTTTATACCTATGTAACAAACCTGCACGTTCTGCACGTACACCCCAGAACTAAAAGTATGGGGTATAAAAAAGTCGTTTCATATTTCTTATGAAATCATCATCATAACCCTGCAAAGTCAATACCTAAAGGATGAAAAAGCAAAGGCTTAGAGTCCTCTCAGTTACTTGTTCTTTTTAGCTACCCAGTAGTAAGTATCAGAGCAAGCCTTCTTTCTACTGTACTCTACCACCTCTTTAAAATTCCTTTCCCACAGAGGAGGACCTAGTAATGGTAAAGCTATGGAGCAAAATCACATATTGGAACTTGGGGACTCCCTGGTAAGGAATATTATAGTGCATGTAAATGGACACAACCAAACCATGTAAGAAGTGGGTATTATATTCATGGATTATGAATCTAGCCTATGGCAGAACCTACTGAGGCTGGTCAAAGTCATCTACTGCCAAGTTATTGGGAAATGAAAACCCATCAAAATAGAACATAGAAGCATCACAAGATGCTGTGAAGTCTGGAACATAAATAAAAGACTTAGGGACACAAACATTGAGAATAATAATGTAATATGAAAAAAGAATGACTAGGTACATAGTTGGTGCTGGCTTTTAAGGCTGTAGCTTCAAATGTAGGAATGACGGCTATTTGGCTAAGAGTGAAGAGAATTTTTCAAAGACTGAAAAGAATGTGTTTAGTCAGAGACTAACTCATCTGGCCAGAAGGGCTATAAATGGAAAACAGATGGGAAGGGAGAAAAAAATACCTAGATAAAACTGAAATGGGTTTCCGTGGATGATATGAAGGAGGGCCTGAAAGACTTTCAACAGTGAGGGAGGTGCCGAGTAGTTCAACGAGAAAACAGTTGGGAAGGACATCAGAAACAAAACATAGGCAGCAGATGTCCAGGTATCATGCACAGAACATGAACAACATGGTAACATTGAGATTACAGCACAGAGTGTCAAACAAGACCTCACAGATGCCACTGAGAGTTGGCAGGCTGGAACAGATCCATGGGAACATAGCGATAGAAGGGTGTGCTGTGTACAAAAGACCTGTTGAGAGGAGGAGGAGGAGCACTGTGGTAACAATAGATTCAGAGGAATACCTGAACACTTGGATGAAGATGAAAGGACAGAGGAACAGAAGTGATGTTTTTGTGGAAGCACAGCTGAGCCACATGGAGGAAAGCCACAAAATTGGCACAGTACACATGATTAACAAGGATAAAATTCAGGATACTTCATTCAGGTAAAAGCAGAGGTTTTCACTTGCCTCTCTAATAATTTCATGTCCTGGAAGGTAGAGGAAGAAATAAAAATAACTGTGCTCTGACCGATTCCAATATATAGAAAGAAGCCACTTGGCAGAGTGGAAAGGATGACAGCTAGAGAATGTGCCTGTCATCTTCGGGGGAGGGCAGACTTGAGCTAGAACAAAGGTGGATACAGGACTTCAGGAAGTTAGACTTCAAAATATTTTAAGAAAATATGGCGTAATTTCACAAGTTTCTAGAAAAGAAAACAGCATCAAGAAGCACGGCTTTGGGTAATTCCAATGAGAAGAAACGAGAGATGGAGAGATTCTCAAAGAAACTAGTGATGGCACAGAGCGTTTTAAGTGAGGATGTATAATGGATGTTCAGAAAGATGGAGGTAAATGATCACTGCATGAGAGTGGCAAAGAACAACAAAAATAGTAGCAGGGATGCTAAAATCCTGGTAGGATCAAAGCATGCAAAAATGGGAAGGACCAGAGAGAGTGTTATGGGGCCAAGGGGATTATGATAATGGATTGGAGAAAGTATGCACTATTTCTCAAGTGTGTCACATTCTTTTAGGCCCTGTCAAGGACTGTGATTGTAGGGCTGAAAAGGTTGTACAAAAGTAAATAAGAGTATGTTGAAATCCAAGTTTGGGGAAAATGTTACTGATCCTCTTTGAAATCTAATCCAGGATTAAAGTTCCTGGTCCACAGTCTGGGAATCAAAGAGCATACATTTACTGATTTCTAAACTTTCTTATTCCTAAGTATTATGAATTGCATTTCAGCTAGTTGATTTTCAAATTCATCTTGCAGAAGCTTGGGAGTGAGCTTGGGAGTGTAATTCATTTGGGTGAGAACTGATTCCATTTTTGGATTATCTGCATATTCTCTTTTATTATCAGAATTTTTCAATTGGATATGTCCAGCTGAAGGCTTAAAACTAGCTAACTAGATTTAGAAGGACAGTTTCCAAGGTCCTCAGCAGGATGCTGTGTGTATCTCCAGGTGAAGAAATGTTACTTAATTAAGGTATTCCATCTTTAAGAAAGCAAATTGCAATGTGTTTGAGTTTCCTAAGAATTTTTAGAGTGGCTCCTCATAAAAGAACTAGTAAAAGTGGGTATAATTCCTTGTATAATGGTTATGGAATTTTTCTCTAATTAGTACACCATTTCAAAAAGTTCAAGAACAGGCAAAACTAACCTGTGAGGATAGAAACCATAATAGTGGTTGCCAGGATAGATAGGGGGCAGTGATAAAATGAAAAGGGATACTAGTGAGCCTCCTAGGATAATGGCACACCCTATTTTTCATTTGAGGTATTGGTTACATGGGTATATGCACTGGTCAGATCTCATCACTATGTCAAACTGTCACTGTATGTCAAACTGTCACTGTATGTCATTACACCTCTGTAAAGATACATACAAATATGTATTATTTCTTATCTGGGCAGTGATAAGAAAAGCAAAAGAATGATTTTCCTCAGCTGGGCGCGGTGGCTCACGCCTATAATCCCAGCACTCTGGGAGGCTGAGGCGGGTGGATCACGAGGTCAAGAGATTGAGACCATCCTGGTCAACAAGGTGAAACACCGTCTCAACTAAAAACACAAAAATTATCTGGGCATGGTGGCGCGCGCCTGTAGTCCCAGCTACTTGGGAGGCTGAGACAGGAGAACTGCTTGAACCCAGGAGATGGAGGTTGCGGTGAGCCGAGATCGCGCCATTGCACTCCAGCCTGGGTAACAACAGCGAAACTCTGTCTCAAAAAAAAAAAAAGAATGATTTTTCTCCCATGACTTGACAGTAAATAAATGAAGTTAAGATAAATAGTTAAGGAATCAGAGAAAAGTAGAATCTCCAAGTTTGAAATCAGCAATGTTCCCCAGTTAGATTTAGGAAAGTGTAAGTCTTACCAACACCCTCAAGTTGCTAATTTCCTGTTGGCAAGGTCTTCCATATGGAGAAGGTGGTGTATTGCTACTTTCTATCCTGGTTCCACTGGCACTAGGTACCAGTGGTTTCTAAACTTCCATGCACATAAGTATCACATTGAATACTTGCTAAAAATGCAGACTCTGGGTTCATACCTGGAGATTCCTATAAAGTAGGTTTGGCTGAGTATCTAGGACTTGCATTTCAATGATCATCCTTGATGAGACTGATGTAGGTCCATGGACCTACACTTGGAGAAACATTTCATTAGAAAATCAAATCATAAAACTACCACCTACTTGCTGTAATTTTAGGCTCTCCAGACAACCTTCTAATAATAAAACCTTTTCCATGGCTTCATGGAGAAAATATGTTGCTTATATCAACCTGTATTCCAGTCCATGTGCTAGCATTCTTCCTCATCTAAATAATAAATAGGCATTCGCTTTGTATCCTGGTCTGATGAGCTTGCTAAATATTGGTTTGCCCCAATAGACGAATACGCTTACTATGTGATACTGAAAAATCATGCCTCTGAGCTTGCAAGAGACAAAAACATGATCTGTGCTAAATTTACAGAGATAAAGAATATTTCCAAAATAGGATTTCTTTTTACAAACTCTGTGCTTATCATAATAACTATTATTTTTTTAAAGTAATTAGACTTAACAATAAACATGTATATATAACATTTTCATTTTAAACACATCAAATGAATCTTTTAATAATGTATATTGTGGTTTATGATACAAAATAATATTATAAAAATTTTGGGAAAATGGGAATGTATTTTTTAAAAATCACCTGTTCTACCACCCTGAGCTAACAATGGTTAACCTTTTAACCTTTTTCCTTCAAGTCATTTTTCTGTCTTTATGTACATCTATTTATTGTACTGGTGGTGGTGGCAATGGTTCATTACCTTACAAATCTGGGATTATGCTAAATGAGTATTTCCTAACATGATATCATTGTATCATATTTGCTCTCCTCTAATCTGATTTTATTTTTCTTCTTAGGGTATGTATCACATAAGTGATGTATCTGTTCGCTTATTTATTTTTTGCCCTCTCCTGCATCTGTGCTCCAGAGAACAGGCCTTTCACTATGAAAATCAGCACCTTCAACAGTGTCTAGTATATGTTAGTCACCAAAACAGATCAAATGAATGAATGGCATTATATGTGTCAAGAAATATGCTTCAAAATCATGATGTACAATGACTAAGCAACTCTATCAAGTGAATATAACATGATAGAGTTGCTATGTTCTAATAAATTTGCTATGTTCTAGTATTGAACAGTTGACTTATTTCTATATTTTAATGTTTCCTATTATGTTTGAGGATGATATATGAATCTTATTTATAAATAGCCAGTTAACATCAAATGGCAGTAACCCTAAATTTAAGTTCACTAAATCCCCCAATCAAAAGATGCAGCCAAAACCTAATGATATGCTGCATCCAGACCCATTTCACATCCAAAGATACACAAAGACTCAAAACAAAGGGATGGAGAAAGACTTACCAACCAAATGGAGAGCAAAAATAAATAAATAAATAAAAAGCAGGAGTTGCAATTCTCGCATCTGATAAAATAGATTTCAAAGCAACAAAGATGTAGTGGTAAAAGGATCAATGCAACAATAAGAGCTAACGATCCTAACACCCAGATACATAAGACCCATAAAGAGATTTAGACTCAACGAGACAGAAAATTGATGAGGACAACCAGGACTTGAACTCAGATCCGGAACAAGTAAACTTAATAAATATTTATAGAGCTCTCCATTTTAAACACACAAAATATACATTCTCCACTTTAAATACACAAAATATTGATCGGCCATTATTAATACCCATTTTTAGAACAAAGCAATATTCCCGTTCTCTCTCCCTCTTTTTCTTCCTCTTCCTCTCCTTCACTCCTTTTTTTCTCTTTCTTTTCTTCTTTCCTTTCTAAAAAAAAAAAAAAGATAAGATTAATTCTAGAAGTAGAGTTAGTATGTCAAAAGCTACAACCGTTCTAACGACCTTTTACATATATTGCCAGATAACTTTCCAGAAATACTGCCTATTTATATGTCTATAAGCAGCACAGGAAAATCTCCATCTCTTTGCATCTTTGCTTACATTGAGTATTGCCAGTTTAATACAAATCCTGGTCAATTAAGTCAAAAACTGTATCCCTTTGATATTAAACCTGATTAGCAAGATAACAATAAAGAATATTATCTTACTATGTTATACATGAAATTTTATTGCAATTAGTTTTTGCTTTTTATTTTTTTAAATAGGTATATTATAGATGTTAATGTTATTAAATCTTTTTGTTTGTTTGATTGAGACAAGTCTCACTATTGTCACCCAGGCTGGAGTGCAATGGCTCAATCTTGGCTCACTGCAACCTCTGCCTCCTGAGTTCAAGCGATTCACCCAGCTAATTTTTTATATTTTTAGTAGAGACGGGATTTTACCATGTTGGCCAGGCTGGTCCGGAACTCCTGAACTCAGGTGATCTGCCCACCTGGACTCCCAAAGTGCTGGGATTACAGATGTGAGCCACTGCACCCAGCTTACGTCTTTTATTATATTATTTATTCCTTATTTTTGTACTCAGAAAGATTGGGATCTTGAGATAAATATTCACCCTTACTTCTTGCTAGTTGTTTAAAGGTTTCATTTTTCACACTAAGCCCCTCATCTATTTGGAATGATTTTAGTCTATGGTATCGGATATAAATCTAACTGATTTTTTTTTCATTTAATTAATGGTCCCAATATAAATTTAACTGAGTAATCTTCTTTTTCTTTGACTGTCACTTTCATCACATAATCTTTTTCAATATTCAGATTTGTTCCATTTTGTTCCAGCATTACCTTGTTTGACATCTTCCAACTTGATATGAATAAGGCATATTTCCTTGTGAGTTCTATGTGTGATAACTAATATGTTGTTATTACTTCTGTTGAGTTTGAATACTGGTGAAGTGGAATGCTTTTTTAATTTTTGTTTATTTATTTATCTATTTGAGACAGGATCTCGCTCTGATACCCAGGCTGGAGTGCAATGGCATGATCATGGCTCACTGCAGCCTTGACCTCCCCAGCTTAAGCAATCTTTAGCCTTGGAGTCTCAGCCTTGGAGTGCTTTTTCCTTTTCTTTTTTTTTTTTTTTTTATTGAGGCGGAGTTTCACTCTGTTGCCCAGGCTGCAGTATAGTGGCACGATCTCAGCTCACTGCAACTTCCGCCTCCTGGGTTCAAGGGATTCTCCTGCCTCAGCCTCCTGAGCTGCTGAGACTACAGGCATGTGCTACCACTCCTGGCTAACTTTTGTGTTTTTAGTAGAGATGAGGTTTCACCATGTTGGCCAGGCTGGTCTTGAACTCCTGACCTCAAGTGATTTGCCCGCCTCAGCCTTCCAAAGTGCTGGGAATGATTACAGAAGTGAGCCACTGTGCCCAGCTGGAGTGCTTTTTCAAATGTGTATTTATTGTCCATTTGTATTTTTCATTTGTTCGTTGTCTATCCATATAAATTTGGCAAGTTTAGGGTACTCAATTTTTTTTTTACTGATCTGTAATTACACTCTATTAATTAGAGATATGATCATAGCACGTAGTTTATCTTTGTCTTCATTTTAATTTTTCTTTATATTTTTATGCGTAAAGGTAGCTGGAACATTTTACCCATCTATAACTGGCCTAATTTCTGCATTGGAAACCTGCTATTATTGAGGAATCCATTTTTTTCCCAATGATTTGAAATGTCACTTTTATTGCCTTGTATTTATAACTCTAAGATCAGGCTGCTGTCATTCATACACCACAAACCTCTTTACCTCAGTTTTCTATAAGGTTGCGAGTGAATTGGAACAGCGGCCTTTAACACATGGTAAATGGCACGTAAGTGATAGCTCTTATATTGCACTGGCTAAAAGATCTCTTCCATTGTGGTTTTGTTTGTTTTCACTTCTTCCTTTATTTGGTGAGAACAACAAGCTCAGTATGGCTCAACCTTTGCTCTTTGAATCCGTTCAGCTACTCACCTCCCTAGAGGCAGTTTAGAAACTCCCTCGAGTAGAATAAATAAAGCTCTCCAAATTCTGTGTTTTGATGTTTCTGTCCACACCCACACTCCCGACATTGTCAAATATTCCAGCCTCTGTCTTTGGATCCTAAGAGATGCTGTGGGAAGTTACTGTGAAGGTGACACACTCAAAGTATAATGGCAATCTGAAGGGGCACTGATCCCACCAAATTCCTTAGCACCCAACTTAGAAACTGTGGCAAATCTCTTTAGTTAGCAAGTACACCTAGCAAAGTGAAGGCTAGCAATTTCTGAAGCCCTTCACTTCACTTCCCAGCCTCCAATTCTATGAATTGGCTCAGGGCTGGCTTCTGACAGCAGTGCCTGGGCTCTGAGCTTAGAATTTTCTTCTTTGAACTCATATAGAAAAATTTACCTGTTTTTTTTTTTTTTTTTTTTGTCAATCTATTTTCAGATGCTTTGTAGCTTTCAAAACTATAGCTGAATACAATCTACCAAAAACTTAGTGGTTTAAAACAACAATTTATTATCTCATGAGCCTCTCTGTTGACTCAGTTTACCTGAGCTGTTCTGGTCTCACCTCCGGTCTCTCATGCTGTCATAGCAGATAGCAGCTAGGACAGCAGTTCTCTGGAGGCTCTGCTGCATGGAAACATCCAGGATGACTTGTCTCACATGTCTAGCAATTTGATGCTTTCCAACATGGCCTCTCTCATCCTTGGGGGTATCTCATCCTCCAGGGTTTCTTTACATGACCTCTTTCTACAGCATGGTAGCTGGATTCATGCATGATGGCCTGCTTTCATGAGTGCAAAAAAGGAAAGTGCTAGGCACATGCTTATAATCCCAGCTATTCAGGAGGCTGAAACAGGAGAATCGCCTGAACCCGGGAGGCAGAGATTGCAGTGAGCTGAGATCATGCCATTGCACTTCAGCCTAGGCAACAAGAGCAAAACTCCATCTCGAAAAATAAAAAAAAAGAAAAGAAAAGAAAAAGATGTATTCGTGGGATAACTGATATGTAAACTTTAAACACTTCAGGTCCTGGGACTCTCCTTAATTATGGTTGACCCTTGAACAATATGAGATTGAACTGTGAAGGCCCACTTATACATGGATTTTCTTCTACCTATGCCATCCTGAGACAGCAATACCTCCTCTCTTTCCCCTCCTCCTTAGCCTGCCAACATAATTGTATTAATTTACTAAGAATTTGTGAGAAGATAGTATTCTAATGCCAATATAATTTTCACAACATGTATTCAAAACATTTACTAGATAACCAGCTATGAAAGTAGGATATAGGGAGAACTGGAAAAATATTGAGTTCCCTGTCCATATCCCACCCCACTCAAAGCCTATCAGGTCTCACAAGCTTTCTGGAACATTCCTTAGTCCCGGCACATATCACAGGTTATTTGTTTATCTCTCTTGGTAGGGCTCCCCAGGTCAGAGATTCAAAGACTCACCCAACATAGGGCCTGACATGTCACCACATCCCAAGAAATGTTGAAGAATAAATGATAAGTTAATTAACAAACCCAATTTCAATCAAAGACCAGCCATGATTTTTAGCTCAAAAGATAAGCCAGGGATAGTTGAAATAAATTTTGTATTAAAGTCATTAAAATCCAAGAAAACCAGTTAGAATGAGAAACAAATGTTGGGGAGAAAAGACTGCTTAAACATATTGAACTTTAGCAAAAGATCTATTTCACAATTTATTGCGAACAACTTTTCTACTCTTGCAAAACTAATGAGAAAATCAGTTCAAATGAGAAAACAGAATGTTGAGTTGCGTAAACAGTGCTGTTTAAACATTAAAAATGTGAATGCTAGGCTTTTGCCCCAGTAGCTCGCTGACTGCACCATAAAACCAATTTTCCCAATCTTAGTTAGGTAGCTAAGCTGAGAATGACTTCGTTTTAGGGGCATTCATATATAATTGGCAAGGCTTTGGTGTGCACAAGAATTAAAATTCTAGAAGTTAAAAACCACCTGTACAGCTAAGTGGCTTTCCAAATGCTTGTAACAAGTGTAAACTCATCAGAAAACTATGAAAACACCATTTCCATCCACTTTTGATATCATTGTGGGTTATTAAGTCTTGATTGTTTAATTTCTGTATATAACAATATCATCTTGTTTCAATTTGCTTTGTTTTGATAGGTGACTAAGTTTGCCTTTCATTATTAATTGAGCTCATTCTGTGCTTCAGGTACATTTCCTGATGCTTAAAGAATTTGACAAAGATCTCTGTCTTCTAATAGAGGAGATGACACTACACAATAAACTCAATAAATAAATAATATAGTGTGTTAGAAGACAGTAAGTTTAAAGGGAGGGAAAAGAAAGGCTTCTTTGATAAGGGGCACTGGGGAAAGCTGCAGTGGGAAGTGTTGGGCATTTTGTTGTATGAAATAAGGGGTTGGGGTTCATTGAAAAGGTGGGATGTGAACAAAGACTGGAGCAAGTGAAGGAGAGGGCATATAATTGCGGAGGGGGTTTACATGGTGCAAGTGGCATCCCTGTGGCAGCCAGGGAAGTCAACTGCTCAGACTGTACTTCCAAAAAATCAAAAAAGCAAAACTTAGCTGTGAGAAGCACAGTAAGCTGGCAGCTCTTCTAGGGCAGTCTCTAGCTACTGAGCATGGTGACAGCACCAAAATCTGGCAATTTTATCCAGTGACTGGTGGGATGGGCAATGTTGGCTCCAGGGCTGCCCATTAGGTTGGCTGAAACTGTCTGATCTATATCACAGTCTGACTCTCTCTCTGTCCAGTTCTGCCTCCTTTCCTCTTTCCTTTCACAGGCAATATTATCATTGTGGTCTAAGGCTTTCCTTACCAAAACCTGCTTCCTTCCTTCTCTTTTTCCACAATTGATATCTACCAAAAAAAGGGCTAG